TTTTTTACTCAAATCAACAGGTTGTTGGTATGTCACTGTACTGTTTTGACAACAGTAACCAAGCATTTTAAGACGCCTTCGATGTGACAAAATAAATATCTTAGGTGCTGCTGTTCTGGTGTTGCTTTATGCAGCCTTATGTGTTGCTTTTGTGTTCACTTTAGCTGTCTAACTTCCGTGATCTGTTTGTTTAATTTTACAGGCAGGGCTGATTATAGAAATAACAGTAACAGGAATGGGCAACCAAGTGGGATACCGCGGCCATATGGTGGGCGTGGTGGTGGTCGAGGCTCGTATAACAGCAACAGAGGAAATAACGAAGCAGAGGGAAGTTCCTGGGGTTGGTGAATCCTTGGAACCCCCTAACAGTAGCCCTATATGGCTTTCGCTGAAGAATCAATGTTTTCCCCACAAATTTAATTAATAAATCTGTGTAAATATCTGCTTCTGATAGCATTAGGATTTATGAGAAACTTGCCATGGGCATCCCCAATTGCATCACCCAGTTCTCAAGGCAGCGTTTCTGCATTTAGAGGGCTGGGATGGATGGGATTATAAGTCAATTTTCCTCCTTTCCCCACTTCTATTTTAGTATGTTGACGTTCGAATCCATCCCCAATTGATCTATCGACAACCGAAATTCTACACACGATTCCGACAGGAGTAAAGGACTCGATTTTGCTTATGTTGATAAGATTTTAAAAGTGTTGTATAATCTGATTTAAACCATGTAATTTTAATAACTAGATGAGGTGGATTCCTTTCTGTTTAATAGTTGACGCAATATAAATTGTAAAATAAAAAATTAATTTTTAAAAGGTAAAATGTTTAGTACCCATTACGATAAAAATATAAAATGAAAAATGTTTCACAAACGACCTAGTATTTACTATTGGCTATGATTATGTGCAAGAAAAAGAAATAAAAAGAACTCATATTTCCAGTCACAGATCACTAATAAACACAAAAAGAAGGGTTGGATTGGATACGGATTTTGAATTTTGTTTCTTGATCTTTGAATATATTTCAATTTAAATTTCAAATTATAGCATAGCATCTTTCAATATAAATTATCACCTCACACCTCTCATTGAGTAAAAAAGAATTAAAAAAATATATTGACATATAACGTTATTACATTACGTACCATGTGTCTCTCTTTAGAGTTCATATTGTAATTTTAATATATAATTTAAATATTAAAATTACAAAAATATTTTAAATAAATTAACATAAAAATTTTTTTATTAGTGTTTTGATAAATTTATAATCTAAATTACATTTTTATTTTGCAATCTAGATTCTCTAAACTGAAAAACATATTTTAAACTACAATAACCCAACAATTTTTGCATGATGTAGCTATTAAAAGAACTCATAGAAAGAGTCTTCAATCTTCATTATGAAAGGAAATTATAGCTTTACCCTCATCTTCTTCCCCATTCCTTCTCTCCTCTTCCCTCTCTTCCCTTCATTCTCTCTCCTCTCCTTCCACTATGGTTTCCTGCTTCTTTTAAATCCTTATCCACTTGTTAGGTTACTGGCATGGCTGTACGTCAAGATTTACGCTGGGCTTAGATCTCAAGATAACTATTAAGATCCCCAAAAACATTGCGAATTCGCGACAATAATGAGGCCTTGAAAGCTCTCTATGTTGTGGTTGGTCAGATTGTTTCAATGTTGTTCCAACTTTCCTCTTACCCTTCTGGATTGATATCGGTAAAATGGTTTCTCGAGTTGTGTCAGTTTAAATATGTAATAAATAAATAAATAAATTTTAATTAATTTATATAAAAAATAAAAAAATTAGTTTTTATTTTAACATTATTATTATTAAATAATTTTAATAAGTCAATTCATTAAATTAAAATTAAAATTTATATTTTTTATGTAAATTAATTATAAAAATTATAATAAATATATTCTTTAACTTATATTGATGATGAATTTATTTCTTTTCTTTAGAAAATAGGAAATGGGTTTTCATCTGCTAATTGGACTCTGATTTAGTAATGTTTGGTTAATCTTTTCTGTTTTACTTCGTTTTCTTTCCCTTTTCCATTTCCATTTCCATTTCTATACAAACTGTAAATTTCCTTCTTCATTGGCGCCTACACCAGCACACCTACCATTCTCTCTCTTCTTTCCTTGTCATTCGCCATCTCAATCTATTTCTGTGATTTTTTTTTGTTGGAACCTCTTTCCCACCTCCAAAAGTGCCGAGATTTGGAGATCTAAGATCTCCACGAGGTATTTCTTGTTCTGCAACATGAACCAGACATGAAAAATATTTCTTTCTTTTTAGTTTTGATTTTGTTTTTGTTTAATAGCTAATTGTTATGTATTTAGTTATCTAATTATTTGAGTTAACTGTTTTTTTAACTATTAAATGAGATTTATGTTTGATAGGATGGATTAAATATTAAAAGTATAATTTGTTTTATGAATACTAAATTAATTTCAATGAAATAATATAAAAAATAATTTTAATAAATTTAAAAGGTAAATTATAGTTTCAATATACAATCTATCTTGTAAAAAATTTATTTGTTACTAAATATAGTCTAAATAGATAATTAAATTTATACTAGGGTGGCTTATTTTTATCCACCAACATTAAAATGATTCAAGTGGACGTAAATAAAATAATTTATTCATAGCCACGTCACAAAAATGTGCCCATGATTGCCAGATTATGAAAAACTAAACGGATCTGCAATGAGTTTCATGGAAAGATGACATGTGCTTGTGTCATCTATTAAAGTTTTTCGGTGATTTAATTAATCCAAATTATATGTGAGATGATTTAATTCAATGTTAGAGTATAGGTTGAAAAATTAAAAAAAAGAAGAAGAAGTAGGAGTCATTTCAATAAGTTCGAAAAATAAAGAGGGTAAGACGACATGTGCTTGTGTCATCCATTAAGTTTTTCCTGTTTTCAATACATGTAAAAATCATCATTGAAATGAAATATATTATTGCTTTTATGTTTGAATGCATATATTATTGAAAATTTAGAAGAGCTACACATCTTTTTATTGTTTACTTATCGTACCCACATGCCAACAATCTAAAGTCTAAACCTAGAATTTCTTCCTCTATTGGGAAGAGTGATTATCACTAGCTTCACTTAGGTTGTTGGCCACTATGGTATGCATGACAAATCTAGAACAAGCAAGCTAGAATGCATATTAATGCAACTTAATTAAACATGAAATAAAAGCTAAAATTCAAAGATCGGAGGACAAGCATGGTGCAGTATATCACTCCTGCAAATTTGTCAGCAAATAATTGTTGATTCCTCTAATTTTGTTGTGAAAACTTCTAGCATTTGCAAAGGCTATGAATGGAGATGAAGTGACTGGTGTACCATTAAAGGTTGCAATTTGAGGCCTTTGCATCTCCCAATAGTTTTGCATTCTAGATATACCAAACGGGCTACTATTGATACCATAACCATATGATCCAATCGTAGGTCTAACATAATCAAGGTTATTCGTCATGGCATAATAGGGTCTATTCATCATGGAATGCATTTGAGAGAACCCTCTTAGCCCATTTAAATTCCCATAATGTGGGAATTTTGGTATTGGCGGATATGGATAGTAGTTGCCCCGATTGCCCCTAAACTTGTCCTTCTTTAACATTGCCCTCTCACCTTTATGAGCATTTTGGTGCCCTCCCAAAGCTTGGGAGTTAGAGAACTTCCTGTTACAGTAGTTGCAACAAAAGATCCTATCCTCCTCCACCTTCTTCTCTATGGGGGCATCCTCTTTAGAAATAAGAGACTTGTTGGGGCGATCAAGGAGGTTGAGTTCAGGCTTGGATTCTTGGTGGACATCAATGTTTGAAAGCCTAAGTTCAAGTAAATGATCCAACTCTGACATAGCTTTGATGTTTAGGCTTGACATTTTGGTGATCAAAATGAATGTTTAAACCAAATTGACTAGAACTGAATGGCAAATGGGTATATGGTTTATGGTCTCTTATAGGGGATGTAAGTGGGAAATGCATCTTCCATAAATGGAAAGATATCTTCTTGGAAGTTTGTGTATTGGCTTGAAATGGTAAGGCAGTAAAGGGTAAGTCAAACTCAAGAACATAATTTCACAAATACATATCATTGTGGGCCCTTGAAAGCTAGCTTTCATTTGAATGCCAATATTTATCATAAGAAAATGATTGACTAATAATTTTTTTATACAATTTTTTATACGACTTTATATGTCATTTAATGATCGGCTCTTTTTACCTTACTAGTACCCATTATATTGTGTATATTTACTTATTTAATTTAATGATATGTGTAAGTTGTAAATAAAAGTTATATAAAAAGGTATATAAAAAGGTATATGCATATCATTAGCATATGATTATATATATAGCTTTTATCTAGTCAAAAATTATATTTGGTTAAGACATAAAAAAGGCTCTTGTACTACATATTGTTATTGCTAGATATTTGTTTAAAAAAAGTACCAAAATAATTGTAACCAAATATCCTAGGTAGTTTAAAATGTTGGCATTGTAGGCTTGACATCAATAGACAAATTATTTCTAAATAAACTCAATTTTGAATTCAAAGTTTTTCATGGAACATAATTATAAATCAAATGGATATGATTATTAATTGAATATACATATTTATTTAGTTTGAATGAATAGACATAACTATTCCTTATGACAGGTTATGTTTGTTGAAACGCCATAATCTTTGGCTAAATGACGTAACTCTTGGTTATATGTCCTTTCAATCACTATAAATGTATGCAAGTTTGAACCAAACATGTATATGAGAAATTTTCTTTTTTATAGTTTCTTTGAAAAGAGTTTGTTTTAATTCTGTTGTATCCTGTGAGTATTTTGATGTCCTAAGGATAGTGATTTTGTTCATGCTCCAAAACACTTCTTTCTTTTCTTTTCTTTCTATTATTTTGATACTAAATTTTCTAATAATTACCCTATGATCATATGTGGAGCTTTTATCAAGTCAAAAATTACATTTGGTTACCACATAAAGAAGGTTTTTGTACATTTGAATATATTTACATTTAGCATGTAAATCACCAACTTCCAACCTCATAAACCAAGTTTTAGATATTTGAGAATCTCGTTAAAATATAAGGTACTAGTTAAAATTAACATTACTGAGAATTGGTGCATACTTAATCTTCAACATTATTGTGTCTCGGCTTGTATCCGACACTATCAATAGCTTTTAAACTCTTGCAAGTGTCAAAGACAAAACTAACCTTGTATTTCTTTGTTAGAGACACATAAATCTTCTCAAATCTAATTACTTACTTAAAATTGATCTTAACAATTCCTTCGTAAGGCTTGGAGTGTAATGCACTTCTTTTAAGAGTCCTAAATGGACTCGTGATATGCGTGGTCAAGGCTTAAACAATGCAAAGGAAGGTTTTCATAACATGTAATTATGCACAAGTTAGAAATTCAAAACCAATTTAAAATAAAACTTATGAAAAATCATTTAGGTGACTTGCCTTTAATTTGTACAAACATAAAACAAAACATAAGTTGTGGTAATACAATGATTTGTTGACACACCTTGACGTTGATAACTTTTAATCCTGAAAAGAATCCCTAACATGCTCCCACTGTGCTACTCGAGCTTGAAGAGAAAGAAAGGAAATGGGTTGAGCCATACGAGCCTAGTAAGCATAAGTGAAACATATAAGGGGGGATCAAATATAATAGTATACATAATCTAACATCAGATAATCAAATAACAATAATTTATAACAATGCCCAAAAGTGCTTACAAGCTCTATAAGCTACACAACACATTATTCACATTACATCAAATCATACTTATCGCTCAAACATTATAAACACATATAACATGCAAGAAGACCAGATTGCAGAGCTTGAACTCGTTAGTATAGCTAACAACACGCTAGATGAGCTAGAGCTCATCCTAGCACCTTACGAATGACATGTAACCAACATAATTCTATCACTTGCTGACATACTCTTAACATATCCGGTCATTGGATGGCATACATTTAGCATGACTCCATCACTTGATAACATGCATTTAGCAAGACCAATTGACAAGCACTTGTCATGACTTTCAATTACATAAAATCACACTTCTGATAACATGCACTTGGCATGACTTCCAATCACATAAAATCAAACTTATTCGATGACATGCATCTAGCATGACTATGCATTCCCCAAACCTTAACTCATACCACATTGCCTACACACTAATCATAAATACAAATCAACTTACAATTTACAACCAATGTTTAAATCTTATTTGGAATGAATACTTGGTATCCACAAATGGTTGTTTATTTTACTTAAGGATTCCACTTGTTAACTTACAAATAATTCATTGGACACATCACACTAAGTCAAAATGTGAGATATACTTTATGCCATAATGGGGAATGCATTACTTGAAACATATACACAAGTTATACTTACCTATACTTAATGAGGTTTCCAAAACCTCTTTAGAATACACATTGGCCAACAGAAGATACTTTTATAACTCATTTTGAAAATGACAAATTTTACTTGAAAACCATACACTAGCTTTCACACTCTATACTTAGCTATTAAAAACACAATTCTTATAGCAATTTATAACCAAGCCTTTCCCAATGACCCACTGGTTACTCAAAAGCCTTGAAAACATATTAATGAAACTCATTTTAGAATAAAAAATTTTTCTCAAAAGAAAGATACTTTTATTTGACTTGAGATATTAATAAACATAACTAAACTAATTTATGAAGTGTAAACCATAATTAACACTAAAATAATGTCAAATTGATAAACTCTTAATTCCAAAACTTGTCAATTAAACAAAACGTAAGCATAATTGACTCCTTAAATCCTTAAAACACATGATGTCTTTAAGTTACTTCCAACCACTTGAATATCAAAAACAGGATTCAAACCACCAATGACTCTAGATAAAAATCCAATAGGTTCATATGTGAAATCAACTTGGAAAAATCACTTAACAAATATATTTTTTATAAACCAATTACATAATCTTTCCTTAACAAAAATCCAAGCTCAACTCCAAATCCAAATCATGCAAATCTTGGCCAATAGCAATAACATAACCTCACACGTGCACTTATATTATAAATAAACACATAGACATGGAATTAACTAATAATACATATAACATAGAAATCCAAAATTAATAACCCAATAAAAAAACACACAAATGGGAGGGCCAAAGATTTTGAAACTCCTTCTGTTATACTTGGTTTAAGTGAAAGAAAACCAAACTTGGCTTGCTTTAGGTGATTGACTACAAGTTTTCCCAAAATATATGAATACCTCTTTCTTCTTTGATAGCACCCAAACCTAATCAAACCCTCAATCCTCCTTTAATCTTTCTCTCTTATGATAAATCAAAGAAGGATTTGTGTAGATTCTCTTTTAAAAGCTTTGTGAGGGCTTAGTTGGATGGTGTATTAGGAGCTAAATTGGATAAATTATGAGGTGATATTGAGAAATTTGTATTGGGCAAGACTTAGCTTTAGGGGATCCAATTGAGAGGATAGAGAATAGAATTTTAATTTTATTTTTTTTTTTAAAGAGTTTGTTGATTTACAATTTAAGTCTCTTGAAGAGAGCTTTGGAATTTAAGGTAGCTAGAAATAAAGAGGGAAAGACAATCAAAGGTGAAAGAGAAGGAAATTGTATCCATGAGAAACTAAGAATCAAAGCATTTGTATTGGTTTACTACAAAAAGATATAAATTTTGCAATAGCTTTTTTTCAAGGTATTGAGTATATTTTTTTCTTGGATTTCAATTATTCAAAGTATGGGGTTGCATATTTATTTTTCTAATTTTCTTTCCACTTCAATATTTTATATTTCTTCTGGTGTTTTTTTCATTTTGCTTTCTTTAACTTTAGTTCTAAATGTTTTATTTTCCTTTCAAATTCATTCAACTGTAAGGTAGGGTTTATATAGGTTTTTTCTTGTTTTAGCCGGGCTTAGATAATTGGGCTTTTCAAATTTTTTTGGCCGAGGGTAGGGCTTGTGCCTAACCCTAGGCCGATATACGTCCGCCACTGGTTCTTGGATTTAACCTAAATCCAAGGTTAAATACAGGGACGGAGCTAGTGTCGGACAAGGGGGGGCAGCCGCCCCCCTAAGCTTTTGAAAAATGTTAAACATGGTATATCAAAATTTTATTCTTTACAAAATTTTATACTTGAAATTAATTTAAATTATAGGGGCCATTCAAATATAAAAAAAAATATTTAGGACTTAAGTAAAGAAATCATTTTCCTTTTTGTGGCTAATTTTTATAAAGGCATGATAATTTTATTGAGGTAAAAATAAATATAAAAAATAATTAACATCTAGTTGTTTTGAGAAAAACTTATATAAGTTTTAATATTAATTATATATGATTTTTTTAGTACAATTTATATTGTGTTAAACTAAAATTCATTTGATATATATAACTCTACAAAAAAAAAGTACATTTTTATACTATTTATTTAATAGTCTTAAATTCTATGTTATTAAAAAATAGTTAAATATATCTAGTTAATATAAAATTTGTTGTAGATGATATAAGTGGTATATGCATAAAAATAGATTTTGATTTAAAACCAATATAAATTAATTAATATAAACTGTTAATGTTTCATTTATCAGTGTTGTGTTGTATGCATAAATTTTTTTGTCTTTTAATATCCTAAAAATACATAAAATATGATTAAATGAAATCTAAATGACTCACAAAAAAATTTTAGAATTTTGCCCCCTAGATCAAATTTCTGGCTCCGCCCCTGATTAAATATCAAATTTAGTCTCTAAATTTTTAATTTTTAATTATTTTAGTCCCTAAATTATTTGTTGCATCTTTTTCATCCTTCAATAATAAAAAAGGTACTTTTGGTCCTTCTGTCAGCTTTTTTTAGTTGTTTGCACAGCTAGCATTTTTTGGGTCCCTAAACTTTTGTTTTATGAACTTTTTTTTGTTAAACCAATATTTGTTATACATTTTTAGTTCTTAAATTTTTATTTTATGGATAATCAAGTCATTAGAAGAAATTAAAAAAATTCCAACTGGACAAAATTAACAAAAAAAAACTAATAGAAGGATAAAAAAAATGTATTTTTCATAATTGAAGAAAGAAAAAATGTAAAAAATAATTTAGTTATTAAAATTATTTAAAATTAAAAGTTTTTTTTTTGGTATAAG